TGGACGTAGGAGCGGGGTACATGGAGCTTCCTCTCGACAGTGGGAGAAGTCTTCGCACATCATTGGACAGCTACCGCCCGCCCAAGCTGGGCAGCCCCCAGCCAATAAGGTGCTGTCCCGTCCACGTTCCGCTTGTCTCACTGCGTGCATGAGGCTGAGGGCTGATCCCGAAAAGCGGACCGATAATCAACGCACCAGCGAACAACACGCTGAACCGAAATTCAAAGGCCTTGCGCGACAGGTCTCCAGAAGCTCCCACATGGGTGCTTCGTTCACGCTCCCGTGTTGGATTTATGCTCCACTGCCTTGTGAGTCAGACTTTTGAGTCGAAGGCTCCGGTTAGTGTTCACGAAGAAGAACCCCTTCGTCAGTGTGGGCTACCGCGAAGTATGCCGTGCCCTAAAATCTTAGGCACCCATTTGGAAAACGACCCTTTCTTTCTGACTAGTTCTTCTTCTCAACCTCGATTAATCCCAGATGCCTCCTGTTTACGCCACTCATCGAATATCATTCAGCGTTTTACCATCAAGGCCAGAGATTCAGAAGCTATAGGGCTTTTAAAGCCAAAATCCCCTTTTCACTTGGCCGCGTTCAATGTCCGGAGGGTGTATGATCCGAAGAACTGGACACCGACCCCCAATGGATTGCGGTTTTTCCACACCGCCCCAGTGCCTTGCAGGTCAGGCTTTGGCTAACCGAAGGCTCCGGTTGTGAATTCCTCAGAAAGATTCATTTGCGTTGACCTGGGAAACCTGGTAGTATCGTGTCATCGAGCAGATCATAGACCTTTTTCTTCTTTTTTATAAAGATTATTATACTATGATTTGTTGGGTTCAGTGTGTAAAAATACAAAAATATATATTGTCGTAAGAAAAAGCATTGGACATATGTGATGCTCCACTTTTGAAACGTGTAAACACCACGTGTCAAAGCATATAAAAAGCGTTCCGTTGTGCAATTTTTCTATTACACCAATTTGTGTGATGAACAACAGACGGGATCAGGATGATCTGCTGTTCAGTGATAGAAACCGGTCACCTAAGCTCCGGCACTTGAAGTGGCGAACCACACAAGGCCCCGCGATCAACACAGTGGATAGATAATAGCTGAAAACTGACCTGTTCAAGGATTCTAGCTCCTTTCTCCTGACGGAATCCCAACTGGACAAAAGCGTCGTCCACAGACATGCCGCGAATCTGTGGACAAGTGGCGAAAATGTGCAGTGTGAAGTAAAAGAGGTTAGGAAAGTGGGGACAGAACCAAAACGGCGAGTGAGACTTAAAACGTCTCGATAACTCTATTCAGAAATGGGAATACCGCCAAAAACCAGTTTGAAAATTGTACGACGTTCTTTCTTACATCATCACCATAATCATCGTGTAGCGAAACACAGTGAAGCAAAAGTCACTTATGAATGCCAAGCTTACAATGTACACAAACTAGGTGATAAAGTGTAACATGATCAGAGATTGAACTAAATCTGATGAGAAAGTGAATATTTCCGGTCAAAGCACACAAGGTGCACAATCTAATTGTGTGCGTACACACCGTTTCAAGAATTTGGGCCTGATAGGAAAGGACAACAAGAAAACCATCACTGTCGTTTCGTTGTCACGCACTCCAGTGTCTCCAACCAACCAGTGACAGAGTTCTTTGGAGTTCGCAACAGTTATTCGTCAACGGCCACGAGAGCTCAACTGTACTTCCCCTCTGATGATCATTTCTTATACATCAGGATCAGATGACGTCAGGAGTGTATCGAAAAATCGATGCGCCTTGAGCTATTTTATTGTGAATGCTATAGTTTTAATAACACAGCGATATCGGTAGATAATTATATTCACCGACGTTTCCTTCAAATTCAATGGATTTACCTTGTTACTCCTCTTGGGGTCAAATCCAGAAACGCTTTACGCCCCCGAAGGGTGAATTTTTGGCAATTTACGAACTTGTACAGTGGATAGACCGGATAAACTGTCATCAACAACAAAATACTATATAACAAATTCTCTATTGTTAAAAAAATTAATGCAAGACTCTTTGTCTGGGGTGGATGACAATTGTCTTACGATTAACCAATAGCTGAGCAAGATATGGAATTACACGGTTTCTGTGTGGTAGTAGTACGGGCTAGTCGGAGTTGATATTTGAAGCAAGTTCGGAAATTCGACATTGCGTTCACGACTTCTCGGTGCAGTGCAGAATGAAATAAGGTCGAGGATCGACAATGCAGACAGTATTTTTCCAGTTACCTCGTATGCTCGTGGTGCGCGGTGAAATCAGTTTTTGGGCTCCTTTTGCACTGCTACTCACCCATGTTCACATACGAGCGTGAAACTTGGCTACGTTTCTTGTGATGCGATGTCGCCCTGATGGTCAGCTGAAAACGTAGATTAATGCCGTCAGGGAAGATTTGAGAAGTCTACGCTTATGTTGGATCTACGGTCACCGGCACTGGAAACAAAATTAGACAATGATTTCCATCGACTTGGCAACCAATCGCCGGGCTTGAAAGGTGCTGATTCAGAAAGTTATTCATTATATATATATGCTACCTAACTCCACTTGGCTCCTTGGAGAGTATGAGCCAGCCTCACGAATGCGGCTCAGCTTACCTACTCATGTCCTGCAAGAAACACCAGGACGTGGATCACAGAAAGCGTAAACAATATTATTCAGAAGTTGTATGGGAGTTCTGTACTACAGACATCAAGAACGCACTTTTAACCTTTGCGCAACTAAGTGCGGAACTAAATGCAACAAGTGTCTAGTGTGTGCTTGCCGGTGGCACTCTCTGAGGTTCCTCACCGCTCAACAGACATGGATACAATCCATGGTTCAATAGCAATAATATTAGTTGAACAAATCTTTATATTCATTCGATCCAGTATTTAATCTCGTTAGTCCAATCAAAATTATTTGTCTTTGAACGTCGTCAGTTTTTCGGTCTTGGTTCACTCCCCCTCCCCCTGCGCTGCTCAGTCCGAATGACGAGCGACCTACAAGGTATAATGGCTGAGACCTGCATTAGCTTCGGTGAGTGAAATGTAAGTTGGATAAATAATTCCGACCAAAGAAGTGGAGGAAGCCTGAGAGAATACAACACCACCATATCAGAGGTGATAGTATACCTGTCAGATTGTCGGTATACTCCCTGAGAACTGCTTTGTCTCGGGAAAATAGATCAAATAGAGGACTTAGATCATTGTTTATTATCCAAAGTATATTAGGTCTGTGGACAACGATCACTCAAATAATCGTTGTGTTTACGCACTTCCTATTTCATAGGTTAATTCGTCGATCATATGGCAAATGAAACATGAATTGAAAAGCTAGGAAGCACTACACAGCTGTTTCGACCTGGTTGGATCTCATCAGCAGTGAGAATCCATCGACCCAACTGGGGATCGGACCCGGGACCTTACAGGTAGAACGCTAAGTCATTTATATTTAAAATGAGAAACGGTCTGATCAATTGTCCGGTGGCACAGTGGGTAGTATGTTTGCGTTCTGCCCGTGAGGTCCCGGGTCCGATCCCCAATTGCGTCGACAGGGATTGGCTCACTGCTGATGAGAGCCTATCAGGTCGAAACATCTATCCAGTGCTTCCTAGCTTTTCAGATCACGCTTCATTTACTATATACACGACGAATTTCCCCTTTGAAACTGAACCAAATCCTTGATTATTCTCATTTTATCAATCGTTGGTACAATAATACGTGGTGCAGTGGACACCGTAGCAACTTTTGCACCAGTTGTCTGTATATATTGCTACTGTTATTATTGTTGTGGCGTTGGCATCATGCTTGTCTACAAACCGGTGTTATACATATATCTATATATATACATATATATATATATTCTTAAAGAAAGCTGAGAGGATGCTTACTTTGTCTTGGTCCGATTTAGCTATGCTAGCTTCACTCATGTCTAAAGGGCCCACAATTTCTTTTATATTTTTTTTGGATTGTACGTAGACATAACCGGAATCTCAGAAGGGATTCGCAACTTACCATGAATCCCAGTAACCAAAGTTTCTTCTGACTATAGAGAATATCTTCACGTCGATGAGTTACCTCTCCAGGCCTAGGATCCGAATTGGGTGAAGCGAGTCCGTCTGATTTTTCGAAAGGAGGCAGATCCCTGGGTGGATAAACTACCTCGTTGTACTGTTGCCACAAATCATCTTTCTTCCCAGTTTTTCTGGACACAATGCGAACATTGTTTGAATTTTTAACACGTTTAGTAATACCACAGGATGTGGACGTGGTTGTCAGGAGAGCTCGTGGTAAAAGGGCAAAACCCTTATACAAACCAGCCAAAAAAAACGGGTAACGGTTCGCCTAAAAACAGGAGAAACAATGTTCAACAATGATACAATTGTGACAGAGGTGTTTCGTGACCCGCTAGCTCTTAAACATATACCAATTTTATGCGCTTTTTGTATTACACAATTAAGTGTGATGAACAATAAACGGGGAAAACCCCATAGTCACGAGGACTTGTTGTTCGGTGATAGAAACCGGGAACCTAATCCCTAGGACTTAGAGAGGGGCGAACCACATAGGGCCCTGCTAAGCGTCAGCAAAGCTGCCTACCACCAAAGTCGAAGGGTGATGGCGGGGCTCGAACCTCGAACCACAGGGTCCAAAGCACGCAGCTGACTGCGTCGAAACCACTGCACTACCACCCTAACGCATACGTACTGATGAAAAGGGTCTTAAAAACATATCATGCAAAACACCAGAACATGTGATACAGAATACAAGTAACTGCAGTAAATTTGTAACATATCCAATAAAAATGTCTCGGATTGGCATGGATGATAGAGAAGTACTTCAGTAAAATCAGCAATTCCCCTCAAAAATCCTTGTGCCTTCGGGAGTGAGTGAGGTATTCTCTTTGGTTTCAGGACTGCTCTCAGGGAGTATATATTTCACATATTCAACGCCGGCTTGTAGACAAACATGGTGCCAACTTACTTTTACTTTTAACTTTTGATCGACTAACTCCTGCAGGAGGATAAGTCGGCTTCCTGGATGTCTCTAATGATGGCAGTCCATGCATGACGATTGGTAGCAAGGTTGACGCAGTGTCAAACCCAGTTCTGGTTCCAGTTACGAATCCCATATACAGATTGGAGAACCAGTAATTCCAAATCCGCCTTGATTGTACCGTTCCAGTTATTCAGTTGACCACCGAGTCGGCAACAACGTTCACGGCATGGTGTGGAGGCTACAGTCAGTCACGAGAGTTAAGTGTCGGGCCTTCGGAGCACATGGCCAAACCACTGAAGGCGCCAGTGTTGTAGCATTTTTGAAAGCCTGCCAATGTTCAAGCAGCGCCGTCGAACCTCATCACTGGAAATTCGATCTCTTCAATCTACTTTCACGATGCGGCGTAAGCACCAATGATCAAAGACTTCGAGTTTCCATGTATCTTGTACTCTTAGCGACCAGGTTTCACAACCGTAAGTGAGGATAGGGCGGACGGAAGCCTGATAAATCCAACGCTTAGTGTTTGAGCTTCTTTCGTATGGATTCCACAACGGTTTGAGGAGTTGTAGGAAGACTCTTCTAGCTCCATCTGCACGTAGTTGGATTTTGTCCTTAGCCTGGCCGTTTGGTCTTATCGTGGAGCCAAGAAACTTGAAAACTTCAGTTGATTCGACAGGCTCCCCGTTAAACAAGGGGGTTGTGTCACGGCAGAAGTTTCGATCGAAAATGTCTTCGTTTTTGACGTGCTGATCTCTAGCCCAATGACCTCGGCAAACTAATTTATACGACTGACAACAGGCTGGGGATTGTCCATGGTGTCTCGCAGTACAACATTATCCGC